ATTTATTTGCAGGAGGATTTAAGATCCTAAGGAAAGCATGAAGTATCTTTTTAAACTTCTCCTTGATGACTAGTGTAATTCATTAAGATTTCCTGGTACAAGCTGAGCTTGAATTCAAGAAGATATTCTTTTCTCCAATCAATTTCAGAATATATTTTTTTCTATACTTAATTTATGAATTAAGAACTGTATCAGTGGTCTTATTACATTGTTTGCACCTTGTACTCATTTAGATCTATAGTACAAAGGTCTAGAAAATTTGTTGAGATGGTATTAGAATGCATTCTTCATGCATTCATGGTATACTAAAATCAATCCTAAAAATAATTTTATTCTTTCTGTCTTTGTGGCTTTCTCAGTGTCTAGTATGTTTCTCCTATTTGTGTCTTTCTTGGTGTATTTAGTTATATACCTACTAATGCTCCACATATACTTTGCAAATATTCAGTTTATTGGAAAAACAGCATAACACTTAATTTCTTCATTTCTCAATATATGAAATTAAACCACTGTTCAATTGCGCTCACTGATCAGGATAGCTGAATAGAAAGATATAACCAAACTTTAAGCTATTCTTTGAAAAAGAAAGAAAGGATGGTTACTATAAACTCTTTATACTGAGTTCATGTGATGTGACGATAGCTAGTTCATTATAATGAGCTCTTCGTCATGGAGAAGAGAAGGCTCTGGAGAGTCCTTGTAGCAGACTACAGTGGGCCTACAGGAAAGATGAGGAGGAACTCTTTATCGGTGAATGTAGTGATACAATAAGTGATAAAATTTTTAAAATGAAAGAGGGTAAATTTAGACAAGATATTAGGAAGAAATTATTTTCTGTGAGCAAGGTGACGCCTTGGAACAGGTTGCTTAGAGAAGTTGTGGAAGTGCCCTCCCTGTAAGTGTCCAAGGCCAGGCTGGATGAGGCTTTGAGCAACCTGGTCCAGGAGGAGGTGTGCCTGTCCATGGCAGGGGGGATTGGAACTAGATGATCTTCAAGGTCCCTTCCAACCCAAACCATTCTATGATTCTATCTTAAGATTTATAAATCCTTGTACTCCTTGTTCCCTATTGGCATTGAAACCAGAAGAAAAACTCCTATTATTCTCATGAGTATTTAACTAGGGTACATGTGTACTTCTACATTAAAGTTAATGGAATAGGAATAGGAATAGGAATAGGAATAGGAATAGAATAGAATAGAATAGAATAGAATAGAATAGAACAGAACAGAACAGAACAGAACAGAATAGGTTCATTTGGAAGGGACCTACAATGATCATCTAGCTTCTTAGTATTTGGACATACACCTATGCTATGGTATAAAAGCACTCACAAGAACAAGTTCTAAAATATGTCATGTTATTTCTATATACTGTAAAAAAAATCTACAAGAGGAAACAAGGGGAAAAAAACCACCACATTTAATTTCCTTCCTGTTTTCACATTTGAAGATAGATCATACCAGAAACTGTGACTGTACTTTCCATAACAAATTGCTACTGAATGCCCAGCATTTGAAGCTTCTAGATTGAACAGAACTAAAGTGGCTAGGGACTTCCTTTTTCTTCCCACTTCTGAATGGGGGAAGAAATACTTTCCTGAGTTGGGGCGCTTGGTTTCATTAGAACGCTGAACCCAAAAGATGCTATGTTATTCTTCCAGCTATCATATCTATTTTTCATTAGGCTATCAGGTTGCATCTTGAAAGTAAGCTTTTCACCCTCCATCTACTGCCTCCTTCTATCAGAAGGCTTCATCGTTCCAATAACAAGAATTCTTCTCACTCCTCTCTCTAATGTATCTATTTATACATTACATACTGATTTGTCCTTATTTAAGTTCTCCACATAGATGCATTCATTTCCTGAAACATTTATTCTTCCATCCTGTCTTACATTTTCTTTGGTAAGGTGAGATGATCAGGACAATGTAACACCTTTACAGTTCTTTTATGCATCTGATTCAGTCTGAATTCTTTTTGATGAAGGAATTATAATCACACATAGTATTCCTCATGAGATCTCACTACTACTTTCTTATAAAATGATACTTGTATTTCTATACCTCTAAAGGAAGTATTTCACCAAATATATCCAGGGTTCATTTTTCCTCTAATAAATACTCAGAAAGTCTTCTCTTCTGTGATTTCCAACTAAAAAGCTTAAAGAAATTCTTCAGTGAGCCTTTGATACAACCTACAATTATTGTTGAAGTCCAGATAGTATGGCAGACTAATTTACAGCTAGCAATTTAATTTTAGATAGAGACCTCTACTACTTTATACATATCTCCTTCATACATACAGATTAAAAATAGCAATTTAGGAAAAAAAACCACTACCGTTATTGTCTACACATTCTGAAAGATCTTCTTCACAGAACCATCCTGTGGTAGCCAACAGTAAACTCTTATTCTGTAGTTATTATTTTGCACCAATGCTAATGTATCATAAACCAGGACTATTCCGATGTCACTAGCAATATTCTAAGAAAAATATTAGTGAAGACTGCATGTACAGTACATTCTACCATTTTAAATATATGCATATATGATATAATAAATATTAGTAAATTATATTTAATATGTTATATTTTAGTTTTTCAAGTATTAATTAATTTGTACAGATTTCAGGGTATAATTCAGAAAGTATGACCAAGATCAAAGAAAAAAAATAAATTTCCAGTGCAAAAATTGCTTTTTAATATCTATTAAATAGGAAAAGTATTCAAAAAGCAATTACATGAACTTCTGAAGTAGCTCTTATGTATAGATCCATAGTAATTTAATATGCAGATCAAGAGAAGTAGTTTTATACTGTTGTGCACGTTCCATTACCAAAGAGAGGCTAAAATACTTTAATAGAAAATTACAGGAAACCCCATAGAAATACCTGCCGACTATCTCCCCATGACGGAAATGCCCTCAGGTCAATTAACAATAGTCTTACGTTCACAAACATTCCTTCAAAATAAATCTGTGTGTTTGTAATAAGAAATAATTTACAGAAGACCATTACAGGTTATTGAATGAGAGTCATTCAATATGTACCAGGACACTATTTTAAGTAAGTACACTACCAAATATGGTGCTTACCAAACAAAAAATGGTACGTTTTTACCCAGTACATGAATACTCACTTTAATAACATACACATGTATACTGTTTTTTGGGTATGACATAGTAAAAAAAGAAAAAAAGAATGCTAACAAAATCAAGACTTTAAATGTGGCATGAAGAAATAAACTGCGAACAAAACTAGGTATGGGGTTTTTTCTCCAGACTGAATTCATCTGAATGTGGGCTTTTCAAACCTGTAGTACTACTTTAATGTGTGACAGATAAGTGCTATAACATTATTCTAGAAATATTATGGTCTCTTTTTTTTCTTTTTCCCCCATAATGTAAAGTTTAGCACTTTAACACGACATAGTAATTCAGAAGTATGTGCCTTACCTATTTCTTATATTAAAGGATAGGTCAGAGAAGAAAAGGACAGTGAGAAAACAGTGGAGAGGACATTATAATGTAAAGACTACAAAGAGCAGATATACGTATTACTGACAAATTTAACTGCCAAATTAGTACACTCTCATATCTTTAAATTAGAAGAGAGTGTTACAGGCTCTCAGACACTACCTCATAAATCAAAAGAAGCCTGTTCTTTTTCACTTGACCAAAGATGCTCAGAAGTAAATGCACAGCCACAAAACCAGTACAAACCAAACTCTAGTAATTAATTTATAACCATGAAGATACTTCATATTTGGACTGAAATTAAAACAAATGAAACATAAATAGTTGTTTAATAATTTGTTCCATATGCAAAACAAACACAATGTCTGTTTTTTCACTTACCCTATTTAAATTACACGTTATAAAATTCTATAGAACTGCAGCTCCACTACTTCTGTAAGTGTTAGCAAATGAAGCTACAATAACTTATACTAGGTGACTACCTGATCTAGCAGGACAGCAGATTTCAATTTAAGGTTGTCTTTACAAAATATCAACTATGTTTGTGCTATAAAAGATGTTCCTCCTCCATATATTTCTTCATAAATTCTTCATGCACAATAAATTAACATGTAACAATGGATTAGCACACATTAAAAATTTTAGATATATAACACATACTATTCAACAGCATCAGCCTGCAAAATTAAGCTCCTCCTTCCCTGAACTTGCATATATGTAAAAATATACCACATGTAACTTGTTTTTGAATGTCTATGGTCACTAAATTAAAACATTCCAGCATTTCTATTTCTCAGCCTCGCATTTCAGATATCAACATTTACCTTTTAACACAATAAATAATGCTTTGTTTATGCTCCAAATGTTTAGTGTTATTAGTACTTTAGTATATGAATTAAATCGTCTGAATATAGGAACATATCAAATCTCTAGCTTTACTACTTTGGTATTTGAACTGAAATCCCTAGTATTCTAAATTTTGCTCCATTCATTGATTTCATGTTTGATAGAATAAAAATCTACAGATGCTTTGAAAAGCCGACATGTTGCTGAATATTTAAGCAGAAGGGAGATAACTACAACTGCATTACTGATTAGTTTAGAACAAAGTAGCTATTTATCAAGTACATTTTTTTAATGCCATAGTTTCTTAGGTCCAAATACATATGCAGGACAAATATTTTAATCACGGTTCTCTAAACTTTCATCAGATCTCACTTAGACTAGGCTTGATAGTGAAATATAGTGATATAAGCTACAAAGTGGCATTAAAAAAAATTCTTTATCTTTCCCTTTTGTCTCTTTATAAATCAGAAGAATTTAAATTACTCTGACAATATTATTACTTATTTAATTTTTCCATCTGGCTGCCCCACTTAATCAATTAAATTAATTTTAAGTAGATTTTATCCCTTTCTCATTTGGTTCAATTACATTTCCTGAATGGATACCTGACCTTTCACTTTTAATTTATACAAAATATTTTTCCATAACCACATGGGCACAAGTAAAATAATATCCAATACCTCTATGAGTAACAACTGCAAGTTCTTTAGTTCTTTCTATCTGCTCAGCATTTCTTGGTCGTCTTCTTGTGCTTTGTAAATTTGCTTGATGAAAGGAGAGCGCTTCCTTGGAAGTGTCCGACTCCAGAATTGATTTTCTTACATTCATAGCTTGCACTTGCTGCTCTTCGGAAGGTTGTCTATAGGTTGTCACTGCACTGGATACAGCAACATCAGCAGATGTGCTAGCAACAGTAATAGCACCAGTAGTGGCCGCAATACGCTCCTCTAACTCACCAGTGGAGGCAGTTTTGATCAAAGTGGAAGAACCTGTGGGACACACAGTAGCACTGGATGCTAACTTTTTTCTTTTGAACTATGTTTTCCTGATCAACCTAAGAGATTAAATTTCCCTCCGTTTAACATAGTAAAGACAAGTGACATGAAAAGAGGAAAGTCAGTATGCTTTATTTAAGAATTTGCAGTAATCAGAACATTTTTTAATGCTAGTAAACATTTTGCAATTGTAGTGATATTACACGTTTAGTATTAAATACCCTCAGAAATTTATAGTACGAACTTTTGTACCAGTCAGAATGACAGCACATAATTTCCACCCCTGAAAATTCAGTCCCAAAATCATCATGGCTAGACCAAAATATACAGCTGTATCATTAAAAGGGACCCCATGTGTAGGAAAATTATAACTGCCCTATCAAGGAGTGAAAGAGCAGCATTATATAGTAACCTAGGTAGCAGGCAAAGCTTCCATACTCCAGCCGCTAATAAGGCTGCCAAACACTTTCACACATTTGATTCTTTGCGTTTAGTGCTCACCTTGACAGGGCACTAAAAGCTCATTTAGACTCAATACAAGGCCAACGGTATATGGATAGTAAAATGTGCACATTTGAACAAAACACCTATAATTATCTATATCTGATATAGGACAAAGGCTGTGTCTGTAATTCCCTTTTTGCTCTCCAACTCCTGCAACGAGCCAGACTATTTTACTCAAAATCCCACTCACAAAATGTTTGACAACTTAAAAAATTATCTATGCACTGCTTGTGAAAATATCAAGTTAGCACTTCTAACTTTTCTAGTAGGCTTTTTTAACATTTTATTAACATTTTCATCCTTTTCCACTCCCTAGATTTGTTTTGAAGCCAGGTCTCACCTGTGAGAATTTAGAACATCTAACACAGTAGCAACTCTGCCGTGACTGGAACAAATAAATGATTGGGCCATGCATAATGAAATTCATAATAAATTAGCTTAAACAAAGTTGACGTAGCATGAACTGTACTACGTTATACCAGTATCTTTAAAACATGGCCTTTTTTTTCTTTAATAATGATTAAGGGGCTCCTGAACACTCATTCTAACAATGATACCCCCCAATTTTCTTTTTATTTCTGAGCTGTCCTCTCAGACTTTGACATTTGTCCTGTAAGTGTAGTGGGTGATGACAGCAGGGAAACAAAACAGAGTTTTTGCAATGTTAGAAGAACCTATGTGTTAGAAAATGGAAATAAGACTCCTGGAGGAACTGAGCTGTATATAGCACCTTTCATGTAAAAGGTGTATCAAACCTCTTGACAGAATTGTCAAATGTACTGTATAAATAAATGGAACAGATCCTAATGTCAAAAATGCTCAGCCTTGCTAACAAAGTCTCTTTGGGTTTCGGCTGAAAATGTTGTATTTTACAATACTACTAAAGAAATACTATCATAACAGAATACTTAAGCATTATACAGACAACTAATAAAGCTGCTGGCTACATATTATTTTTGCTATCATATATTTAATGTTTTAATATCTATTCTGCAGCATAACACTACTAAATCATACAGTGGTGGGTCCCTCTGTTAAATTAAACAACCTTAAAAACACCTGGTAAGACTCCAGATTTAAGCATCAGAGAGAGAACCTACCTACTCTCCTATGATCACAGAATTATAGAATGGCATAGGCTGGAAGGGACTTTAGAGATCATCTAGTCCAACCTCCCTGTCATGGGCAGGGACGCCACCTCTCAACTAGACCAGGCAACACATGGGGACCGAGCGGGAATCGACCCCGCAACTTTGATGTTGTCATTGTTTTCAGCACCACGCTCAAACCACTGACAAAAGACTACAGCACCCGGTATTCCCAGGCGGTCTCCCACCCAAGTACTAACTGGGCCCGACCCTGCTTATCTTCCGAGATCAGACGAGATCGGGCATTCTCAGGGTGGTATGATGACAGTAGTATAACTAAAATAGACCTAGACATGTTTTATTCTTTATTTCAGAATCAGAGAAGAAAGTTGTCACAGCAATGTATAATATCATAACTGACTAGTTATGATTCAAGGTACAATAAATTTCGACAGAGGGGCATCAAGATTAAAATACAGAAATTACAAGTGTATGGTTAAGAGATTTTTTGGAACAGGACAGTGTTGATTAAAACAAAACTTACTGCATGCTAAATAACCACTGCTATAAAAGTAAGATCTCTGTGGATGTGTCTTTATCATGCAAGCACATGTACAAGAACAGGAAGTCACATGCTCCCACTATCAAGCTCAAAGCAAAATTATATTCAGAATCTCAGTCAAATGGCATGCCATGTTATAGTGCTTTAAAGAGTCACAGCACAAGAGAATGTTCATCTCAAAAGAAAAGCGCAAGAAAAATTATGTTTACTTGAGAGCTTCAAAAGCTTATACACTGAAAAGTACTGTACTACTTTGATATGGAGCCAACTTTCAAGCACAACACCTATGAGGCTTCCACATCCACTTATACTGTAGAAAAGAACTCACGCAGAAGATCAGTAAAAAGCAAACATTGTGGTGTGATTTAAATGGAATATTTTATGTCAAAATTAATGTTATATATAAACAATCTGGTAAGTGCCAGCTACTGCATAGAACAAATGCATTTAGTCAAAGATACTATTTTAAAAACTGTAATTTTCTATATGACACCTCTCCCCTATTTTCCTTTAATATTTCAGTTAAAAAAAATACAAACTCACAATAAAATAAAAGGTAGAAGAAGGAAGATAGGAAGACTGATTTCTGCTTTGTAGGTAAAGTTTAAACCAACAATTTTCAGTCAGCTGAAGTCAACTCAGAGGTAGGTGAGTTCACAATCGGAAACTGAGAAAGTGTGAGGCTGGAGGAACTACCAGGAAGCACGATGTCGGGAAAGAATACAGATGTGGAGGCAAGAAAGAGCAATTGTTGCTGGGGACATGGGTTCAGAAAGAAGGAGAACCTGACTAGGCCAGACTAAGGTAGGCTGACTCCCACTAGACTGGACAAACATTTTTCTGAATCCTTGTGAATGGACAACAGACTGAAATCAGTATAATTGAGGACCTTTCACATGTCAGATTAGACTACTTAAGTGAGGAAAGATTTGAGGTTGTATTTACACATAAAAAATTGCAACTATGTAGAAGTGGAAGCTGGTGATCTACAGAGCAACTCAGTTCAGAAAACTAGCCTGAATGAGCCACTGCTCAGAAGTGCTGTAACTGCTAAAACTTTGGATAATGTAAACATATGGAAGACCCATAAGCCTTTCTATTTATACAGGAGTGGAGGCTGCTCTGATTCCAGGATCATTTTTAGTAAAGGAAAGAGGCAAGAGCCTTTGACATTTGCCTGAGACAAAGATCCAAAAATAGATTATGAATCTGTGCTAGATGCACACAGTTTGCATATGCAATATGCTACAAGTATACACAGGGTTCCTGGTGTAAACACGATAGCAAAGGAAATTTACCCCAGATAAACTCATAGTGGAAATTCTAATTTAAATTAACCTCATGGATTAACTTTTTACAACTAATCCCTGAGAGAATAAGATAATGAGAAGATAATGAGTACCTTTGCCCACTCTGCAGAAGCATTCACCAGTAAAAAAAGGCTGAAAATGGTATCTAGTACAGTGAAAATGCCTTTATTGAGAATTACTTTTTCTTCTTCTCTTTTAGAAGACTACGACTTGGGAAAACTTTCCTTTAAAATGAGTAATGCTAGAACAATATATCTTCCCTCTCTGATCAGTGCAGATATTTAAAATTTATTCATGTTAAGTAATGTGCCAATACTAAATTAAAATTTAACATCTTTTAGAAACTGTAGTCCTGAAAAAAAGTAGTCACAGTAGTTCATATGCGTTGAAGAGCAGATTCAGACAAATGCAAATCTTGTTATAGATCTTAATTTAAATCTCTGGGCATTTTAGAAAGAAGTTTTTTTCTTAATGAAAGTCAATTCATTTTTGACAAGACAATGTGATTTTTATGTCCATTTTAGAAGCTTAAACTCTGTGCTATGTTAACATCTTGTGTTCAATCAAGATTAAGATGTAGATTTCAGTTGTGATTGTTGTTTCCTATTAAACCAGAATTGATTTCCTCTTCCAGTTCCACAAGATTCCACAAGGTAAAGTATCAGTTGTTAGTCGACATACATTAATACATTAATTAAGATAGTGTTAATTCTCATCAAATTAACATAATTAACTACCAATATTAAATCACCATTCTTTCTTACAAGATACAACTGAGAATTGTATAGTAGCAGAATTCAAACAGATAATATTTTAAGGAAAATAAAGTCATTCACTCAATTAAAATGACAGTGTGAAATTACAAAGTTACCATGCTTTCAGATACTAATCATTGCCTGGACTGAGAGAAACTATTTCCAGAATAATGCTATTTTTAAATAAAGCTTTTACGTGAAGTATGTTATTGTAACTTCTGTCATTACAAGCCATATAATTCCACAGACTTAAAGCACAGCCAGTTAATCTTGACTAAATTGAAAGTCCACCACCAAATGTCCGACATGCAACTAAAGAAGTTGGTTTTCAGCGGAAGTTGATTTTGCAAATTTTCTTTTATTTCAGAGAACTGATGAACAAACAAATGTTCTAATACTATTTATTTACCCACTAGTTATTAATAACATGATGATTATGAGTCAAACTGGTCAAAGAAGTGTTAACATTCGTTAAAGTGACTTTGATTCACTTAACACTAGGATTAAAACAACTTTTATCCACAGGATCACAGAATAACTTGGTGAAAAAATGGGCCTTTTGAGTTCTCTTGTTGTCATGACAACCTAAAGCAAGGTCAGCCATGAGATCAGACCAGTTGCTCAGGGCTTTATCAGTCAGGTCTGGAGAAAACCTCCTAGGATGGAGACTCTACAATCTTCCTGAGCAATTTGCTCAAATGCATGACTTTCTTCATGGAAGAAAACTTTCTCTTTATATCTGTCCTGAAGATCACGTTTCAAATTTTGTCCATTG